GGTGTCGTCGTCGTCGTCGTCGTCGTCGTCGTTGTCGGCGTCGTCGAAGTCGTTGGAGACGTCGTCGGTGTCGTCGTAGTCGTTGTCGGCGGCGTCGTCGTCGTCGTTGTCGCTGTCGTCCTCGGCGTCGCTGTCGTTGGCAAGTGCCATTTGGTACCCACCGTCACGGTCTTAAGAGATTTCACGAACCAAGTTGCGGGTGGGTGGGTAGGATGTTTGAGCGAGCAGTGGAGTGGCCAAGCGCGGTGCAGAGTAGTCAACTGCACCACATAGATTTTACTAAGCGTGCTTCACAACATGTGAGATCGTTGCCTACAGCATATTATGACATACCCCCCTTGGCGGGGTTAACGGTCCACCACGTCGTATTGCAATTTACACACTATCCCGCCTCATCGTCCATCCTAAATGAAATCTCGAATCATCCCAGCCGAACCAAGCTTTGCACCCCCTTTCATCCAATGTAATAAACTATACGCGCGCACTCTCTCATCACAAACCATCAGTCTTCAAACACCAAGTGCCAAATAATGCGGCGGCAACCACACGCGCGCGTTGTGACGCGCGCGAGCCGAAATCCGTCAAAAGGTCGAGGTCCCGTAAGAATGTCGAAGTCGAGCGTCGCGGAAACAGTAATAAAAGCACATGGTCTCGCAACCAAATGTTTTTAACAAAATCGTTTGCGCTCGCGCTCTGATGCATTCTTGAGGAAACCGTGAATTTCCCAACAAATTCACACTATATTTCTAAATTGGCCTTTCGCGCGCGCGTGTCGCAATCGTTCGGACGCCCTCTTGCGCGCGCGGTGTTGCGAAAACCCGTTGCAAAAAACGGGACGCAGTGGACACGCGCGCGTCGTCGCGCGCGCATGCCGGAACCCGTCGAAAACCTTCGATGTCGTAAGGCTTTCAAAATCGAATGACCCAAAAACGCTTTAAAACCTTGGCTGTGCAACACCTGTTCTTTATCATATAAAGAACTGCGCTCGCGCTCTTGCGGATTCTTACAAAACCATCGGTGTTCCACCATTCATACATTTTTTCCAAAAGGGGCCTTTCGCGCCGCATGTCGAACTCATTCGAACGCCCTTGCGCGCGCGATGGAGGGGCGCGACCAGTGGCAAATAATGCAACGGCCATTCGCGCGCGTCGGTCGCGCGCGCAGGTCGCACTCCTTCAAAAACTTTCATCGCCGACACGAACATCTTCATCGTTACCGGCGGGCGTGAGAAACACCGGCGCCGTCGTTGGGCTTGCCGTTGTCATCGCCACCATCGTCACCATCACAGCTACTTGCAAAATCTCTGCTCGCTCGTCGTCGTCGTCGTCGTCGTCGTCGTCCCCCTCGTCGTTGTCGTCGTCACCGTCGTCGTAGTCCACTTAGTCGTCGTCGCTGTCGCCGTCCCGCTCGTCGTCGTCGTCGTCGTGTTGTCGCTGTCGTCGTCGTCCTCGTCGTCACCCTCGTCGTCTCCCTCCAAGGCGTCGTTGACGTCGTCGCCGTTGTCCCCATTGCCGTTGTCGTCGTCGTCGTCGGCTTCGTCGCCGTCGTCGTCGTCGGCGTCGGCGTCGTTGTTGGTGTTGTCGTCGTCGTCGTGTCTTGGTCGTCGTGACCCCCCCAGTATCCGACAGGCACCCTGCGCGGTGCGGCCCTGCACTCGGGGGCGCATCGGGCCTGAATGCGATGCCTCACCATGAGCTCTGCCAACCAAATTGCGGATAGAAAAAGGGAAGTTTGCACGAGCATTGGAGGTGGTCGCGCGAGGTGCAGTGTGGCCAATTCTTGTTTAATGCGAAGAACACATAGATTCTACCCCTTCCCCTCGGGATTACCCGCGCCCCCTCTCGCATTGGAAATTGCATGTGATGGTGCCCCGAACGTCAATCTTGAATGTGAACTTATACCATGATGGGGGAACAGGAGTCGACCCCCACTGTCATCCTCTGCAGAAAATATATTGTGCGCGCGCACTCGTTTATCAAAATGAGCAGTTGCCAAGAACCCTTTGCCAAAAACGTGACAAAAAACGCACGCTCGCGTCGTGGCGCGCGCATGCTGGAATCATGCAAAAAACCTTAGGATCCGAAAAGGATTTCAAACTCTAATTGCTAAATGACATCTAACAACATTCTCGCAACGCGGATTTTCAAGAAGAGAAAAACCTTGCGCGCGCGGTGTTGCGAATTTTGACGGCACGAACAAGTTGTTCAACGCTGCCTTCAAGTCCTACCAAGCGGGAGGCGCGCGCGCATGTCAAAATCGTTCGAACGCCCTTGCGCGAGTGCTGTCGCGAGAATCCTTTGCAACAGATGCGACGAAATGCTCGCGCGCGCGCGTCGTCGCGCGCGCATGCTGCATTTGTTTGGAAAACAACAAGAAAAACTGAGAATCCCACCAGCCCTTTAGGGCGTAGGTGGTCTAGGGAGTTTCCTCTGCCAACCCCCTTCTTCCCCTTCGGGGAGGGGTTTACCCCTCCCCTTACCCCTCCCCACTGACCTGGACGGGGCCGGTCGCGAGGTGTCAGAGCGTCCAAGATGGCCCAAGACAGCTCCAAGAGCGAACAGGCGAGAAAACACAAAACATTGATTTTACCTAGGTTTTGGAAGGATTTTGGCATCTTGGGGGGGCCCAAGAGGCGACTCGAGGCACTCTGGAGGGGCGGGGCTAATAAGCACCCCCCCCTTCTTTGATAGATCTCCTCCAAGATGGCCCAAAGAGCGCCCCGAAGGCTCCCAAGAGCGCCCCAAGAGCGCCTCAAGAGGGCCCCAAGAGACCCCAAGAGGCCCCCAAGAAGCCTCCAAGACGTTGCCAAGAGACCCCCAAGAGGCCCCAAGAGAGTCCAAGATGACCCAAGACGGCTCCAAGAGCGAAAAGGCGAGAAAGCAACAAACATTGATTTTACCTAGGTTTTGGAAGGATTTTGGCCTCTTGGGGCGCCCAAGAGGCGACTCGAGGCACTCTAGAGGGGCAACGCTAATTGGGGACCCCCTCTTCTCTGATCGATCTCCTCCAAGATGGCCCCAAGAGCGCCCCGAAGGCTCCCAAGAGCGCCCCAAGAGCGCCCCGAGAGCGCCCCAAGAGGCCCCAAGAGGCGCCCAAGAGGCCTCCAAAAGGCTCCCAAGAGACCCCCAAGAGGCCCAAGAGGCTCCCAAGACGGGTCCAAGAGCGAAAAGGCGAGAAAACAAAAAACATTGATTTTACCTAGGTTTTGGAAGGATTTTGGCCTCTTGGGGGGGCCCAAGAGGCGACTCGAGGCACTCTAGAGGGGCAGCGCTAATTGGGGACCCCCCCTTCTTTGATAGATCTCCTCCAAGATGGCCCCAAGAGCGCCTCGAAGGCTCCCAAGAGCGCCCCAAGAGCGCCCCAAGAGGGCCCCAAGAGGCCCCAAGAGGCCCCCAAGAGGCCTCCAAGAGGCCCCCAAGAGACCCCCAAGAGGCCACAAGAGGCTCCCCGAGATACGCAAGAGGCCCCCGGGACCGCCAAGAGGCCCCAAGGACGGCCCAAGAGGCCCCCAAGCTCGCAATTGTCCTCCTCCTCCTCCTCCTCTTTTTTTCCTCCTCCCTCCTCCCCCTCCCCCTCCTCCTCCTCCTCCTCCTCCTCCTCCTTCTCCTTTTCCTCCTTCTCGTCCTCCTCGTCCTCGCAGTCCTCCATCTCCTCCTCCTTCTATTCCTCCTCCTCCTCCTCCTGCTCCTCCTCCTGCTCCTCCTCTTCCTCCTCCTACTCCGACGACGACGGCTCCTCCTACATCCTCCCCCTCTTGGGGCATATGGCGGCTCACCCCGCCCTTTGTTCTTCTGCATGCTCCCCCGCTTCCCTCATAACCTCCACTCCCCTGGGACTCATTTCTGGACGGGCTGGTGGGGATACGCGAAGCGTCTAGAATTTCGCAAAGATTTCAAAACCGAGTGTCGCGAAACCATATAAAGACAGATGGCTTCCGAACAAGAGTTTTCGACGAAAGTGTGCGCTCGCGCTCTTTCGAATTCTCACGGTCACTCTCGCGCGTCGGCCGCGCGCGCATATCGAACTCGATATAAAACCCTCATCACCCTCATCACCATCGGCGCCGGCGTGATTAGCATCGGCGCCGCCAATGGCAGTGCCGTCGCCGTTGTCAACACAATCACCAGCATCGCTACTGTCATTCTCGTGTCTAGTGTTGTCGACGTTGCTGTGATACCGCGCCCGCCCAAGTCGTCGACTCGCATTGAAGAGCCCATTGGGATGTACCCAGCGGTCAGCGCCACCGCGGCCGCGTCGGTCGCGCCAAGCTAGCTGGTCACCGCGCGCAAGTGCATGCGCGGGCTGGCGCGGCCGCAGAGATGCACCAGCCCACATCAAGCACTCATGCCAATCGCCGCTGCTCGTGTTTTGCCAGACAAATTGCTGGTGGGTGGGTGGGATGGTTGCGCGAGCAGTGGAGTTGACAACTGCAAATTCCACAAGTTCCTTGCACCACTGATATTATACAATATAGACTGAACAACAATGCGGGTTCCACATATACTGCACCAGATCGCATCACACACGTACAGCACAACATCGAGTGAACAACATGCACTGCGCAACATCGAGTGCACCACGTTTGTTGCTCCACATAGACTGCACAACGTAAATGTCTAGAAACACGCTGTGTGGAGCCCACGCAGGCTATCATATGTGGCATGACCTAACTTATACATGGAACACAAGTGACCGCCCTGACTTGGGTGTGTTAGATGGCTCTGCCAAGTGGGCAGGGAGCCGACTTCGCCAAAATCGGGAATCCCCGACGCAAGCCGCTCACAGGCACCCATGGCCCACTTGGAAGCCAAGCGAGGCCAAATACAACCCACCTTGGCATCCGCTTCTGAGCCCTCCTATCCCCCTCAACCACCCCAGCGGACATCTCAGCAGCGCCGCCGCCGGCTGTTGGGCTCCACGCTGCTCGCGCTGGCGCCCCCAAGAAGTCCCTGGAGGAGGCCACGGCCTGCAGAGGGCCCAGCCGCCAGGCCGAGCCTTTCCTGAGCTGGCACGGGGCTGCGGCCTCAGAGCTCGCGGCGCTCAACCCACACCTGTGGGCGTCGTACGACGAGGGGGATGGCACGGGGGGCGGTTAGATGACTACCCACCAGACCACCCCAGCCCAACCTCAAGACCCGAGTGTCAGGTTGGGGGTGGTGCGGGCTTCATATGTGTTTCTGTCCCATGTTCCCTGACCGGACCCACTGGGAATGGAGGGCACATTGGGACGTTCGGGTTGGGTTGGGGTGGCTTGGTGGGTGGTGGCCATAGCGAACCGAAAACTTCCGGTAACGCTCTGGACGAAACGGCCGCGACCGAAATGGGAAACAGCAAGCCGTCGACGTCTTCAGAACCCTCGCTTAGACCTCGACTCGCGGTCTCTTCTGGTCGCGACGGAGCTTTGGCGCGCATGGAACCCGTTACCAAATATTTGTCGCGGTTATCTGGGTGTCCAGGCACCGAGGAAACCGCCAGGCGGCGGGGCCTAAACTAGCTGCATGCCTTGAACAGGGACCGACCGTCCTGGTATTCCTATAGACCTACCACGAAGTTCTAAGTTCATAAGCGATGTCCTTGTACCACCATGAACCAGATGCAAGAAAACAACACGATATCAGCAAGAAGTGCTCTACACACGTTCGTGCAAGCACAAAGGCTTAGAACATTTTTTGGTGGGCGTACAGGCAAAGCAGGACGCCTTGTCACTGCTTGACTGCCGAAGAGATCGTGCCCCCCCCTTTTTCAACTACTGGGAGGTCTTGTCGGAAGGACTAAGGAGGATTCAGCCCCATTGGGGGGCTGCTCGGCCAGACTAGGCCGCGAATTCAGCGGGAACGAGCCGGAATGAGCCGGATTCCGGACCAAAGCAAAATCAGGATTTGACTTCCCAGGAATTGCGTACGAACCTTTCCGTCCGCCCCGAGCCTCGCCGTTGGCAGGGGCGCCCCCAGCGTCGCCCCAGCTCCTGCCGCATAATCGCGCCGACGATAGGGCGACGGCGGCCCTCCTGCCCGCCTGACAAAACATCCGCTCCACATCCCTCGCGATCGAGGATCAAATATGACACCGTAGACGCCAGAACTTTCGGATACCCGCTCTGATTTCTTGAATCGACAGTGGATCCACCTCCCTGGCGCGCGGGGCGCGCCGGGGGGTCGGCGCCAGAAGCGCCGGCAGGGTGCCGCAGAGTGGATCAGAGAAGCCCGCGCGGGCCTCTGAGCGTTCATGTTTATGTCAGCACTCGTTCCCCGAAGCAGAGCACCCTAGTAGCAGCAGGGGTGAAGAGCGGGTTCAGGAGTAGGAGGTCGGCTTTCGGGAACAAAGGTGAGACGACGGCAGAGATCATGGCCGGCCGGAGCAAAAAAGTAGCCGGCACTGCGGCGAGAGCACGATTCCTCAATACTTGTGAGAAGATAGCAAATTAAACGGCTCCCAGACCATGCGATCTAGGGGGGCGGTCCCGGGCTACGTACCCGCCTCCCCTGTGGGACTCTTCTGCGTTCGTACCTACGACGATTCGAACCCTCGGGCGAAAAGAGATTCAGGAACATCGGCCCCTGGAGCCGTCGCAGGATGCTAACTGACCTGTGGTCCGAACTGCGCCTGGCAACGGAGGGGCCCCCCGAAGGCCAGACGGCGGAGCCTTAGCTAACCCTCCTCCGACCTCCCAGACCCCCAGCGCCGTGTTTCTTGCTGTGGGCGCGCAGCCCCATCGAAAGCTCGCGTGCGCATTTGAGCTGCACTGTGCGCGGGCACAAACTGCGCGCCCGCGCCTGGCCCGTGCGCCAGCGGGCGAGCTGTGCGCACGGGCCGCCTCTCGCTGTGCTGCGCCTCGCGGCGCGCGGCCCCGCGCGAAGGGCTCCCGCGCGCGAGGGGGGGGCAGCGGCACGTGCGTCGCCGCGCGCGGCCCCGCAAGAAGAGCCCGAGCGCACACGGGGTGGCGGCATGCGCTGCGCTGTGCGCGGCCCCAAACAGCAGGGCTTGCGCGCGCGGGGCGCGGGCACGCAGCGCGCCCGCGCTCTCGCCGTTTGCTTTTCTGCTTGCATCGCGGCGTGCGCTCCGTGCTGGCGCGCCGCGGGGATCCCGTCGGGGCGGATCGCGGCGCGCCTCGGGGCAGCGCGGGTTGCAGGCATTGGAGCTCGCATCCTGCAGGCATCGGCGGTTGCGTCCTGCCGTCGCGGCTCCTGGCTCCTGGGGGTGCCTGCATCCCTGGTGCCCCGCGCGTCGGCTCGGACTGGCACCGCCAAGCTGGGCGGCGCGGGAGGTGCCACACCCCTTGTCAAGAGGGTACGGGCACCTTCGGGTGCAGGAGGCTGCCGCCGCAGCTGATATTGGTGAACACTGTTGTCGTGACCCCCAACCCGATGACCAGCTCTTCACCTCGAGCAACTCTTTGACGGCCCCGAGGCATGGGACGCCAAACGGATGTATTTGTTTTTCGGGCGATCCCCTCCCCCCCCCCCCCGAGAACGCAAGTAGCAGGAGGAGGAGGAGGGGAAGAGAAGGAGGACCAGTGTAAACCCAAAAGGCATCAACGAGTTTGGAATAAACCCTCCCCCCAAGCTCCCTCTTCATAGGCCCCGACAACGGTTCATTTCTAATGAGAGAACTGGCTCGTCGGACGACAACTGTTTGAAGACCCTGAAGCATGCCAAATCATGGTTCTCGGGATTTCAACGCCACGGATCAACCTGATTGTTGCGTCTTGACGATCCTGGATCGCGCCAGGATGCCATTCCTGGGACTTGAACGCAGCGAATCAGCATTGCTTGCGCACCCTCATAAGCCTGAATCCTTCAGAAACATTGTTTCTGGTGCGCTGATCATGGATCTCCGCGAAACTCCTGCAATCTGTTAATGCGAATGCGCGCGGCGCCAAAGCGAGAACCACATTTTGAAAAAGAAACCGCCCCCGATCCGTGAAACCCATGCAACTTCTTAATACGAATGTGCGCGGCGCCAGGGCGAGAGCCACATTATGAAGAGAAACCGCCCCCGAGCCCTGAACCTCTTGCAAATCTTTAAAACGAATGTGCGCGGCGCTGAGGCGAGAGCCACATTTTGAAAACGACTCGCCGTCAATCAATGAAACTCTGGCAAATGTTTAAGACGAGTGCGCGCGGCGCTAAGGCGAGAGCCACATTTTGAAAACGACCCGCCCTCCATCTGTGAACCTGTTGTCATTTTTGGAGCCTCAGGGTAATGAATGATGTGGAAGTCTCAGGCGATACGCCTGGCCCGCCCAAAAAACTGGCCTCGGGGTGCGACAGGAAGATATTATGTATAAGGAGAAGGAATGGAGGAGGAGGAAGAGGAGTAGGAGGAGGAGGAGGAGGAGGAGGAGGAGGAGGAGGAGGAGGAGGAGGAGGAGGAGGATAGGGATCCCCAGGGAGCACTGGCCTCCTTGCAGCCTGGCGGCCACGGTATGCAGCCATCACTTGTTTCAGACGCGGGGGGGGCAGCTTCGGGCCCCCCTGGGGCCTGGCGGCCGCGGTGATTATGCGGGGTGTGCGAGGCGGTCAAGAACTTGTTCCTCTGAATCTTGAAGGGGCCCAGGGACAAGCAAATGAATACATGCAAGCCCCAGGATCCCCCACTTTTTATATTTTCTGCAGGTTCGTCTTCCCCCCCACACTTTCCTCACTTTCCTTTACTTTCCGGGGAATCGACGATTCATTGTGTCGGTGTGTCTCCCCCCTCAGATGGGATGGGGAACACGTCAGGACGCAAGGATGTCATGCTGGGGGGAGCAGAAAGGCACAAATCCCGCTGCGTCTCTGGACCTTTCCGGTGGTGCATCCTGACCAGAACCGGGAGGGGCATCCAGCTGTGGCGAGAAGGGCTCTCCAGGACGAGCAGCGTCATCAGCTCTGAGATCCGACGACACGAGAAAAATGCCACTTCGTCAAAGACTCGACCAGAGCCACAGGACCCCTATCTTCCTGCAGCATTTTTTCCCAAATGGATTGATCCGCGAGGCCCCCTGGGCTCTATACGTGGCAACGTCCTCCGTTGCGGAAGGATTGCGACGCCAGGACCTCAGGGTATACCTTTCCCGGGGGCGGACGGGTGCCTCTTTAGCAAAGCGCTATTCCGTGAGCACTGCCAGGGGGCACTGGGAGGGAGGGAGGGAGAGGGAGGGAGGGAGGAGGAGGGAGGGAGGAGGAGGAGGAGGAGGGGGGGGCGGGAGGGAGGAGGAGGAGGAGGAGGAGGAGGAGGAGGAGGAGGAGGAGGAGGAGGAGGCGGAGGAGGAGCAGGAGGAGCAGGAGGAGCACGGCGCCACATTCCGAGCGCACCCCGGCGGGTTGCCTGCTCGGCGCCCCACAAGCAACCGAACGTACCTCCGCCGCCACGCACGCCGATGAGCGAAACCGACCGGGGACGGCACCTCCTCCTCCTCCTCCTCCTCCTCCTCTCCTCCCCTCCTCCTCCCTCCTCCTCCTCCTCCTCCCTCCTCCTCCTCCTCTCCTCCTCCTCCTCCTCCTCCTCCCTCCTCCTCCTCCTCCTCCTCCTCCTCCTCCTCCTCCTCCTCCTCCTCCTGCACACCCGAACGTGCTCTCATTCGGCGCTTCGGCATCGGGCGGAAGGGGGGGGGGAGTCTGGCTCTGGACATCTCTGCTTGATGCGACTGTTTGCACGGTGCGTCCTATGGGGGACATTCCACCCAGTTGAAGCAGGCGCCACAAACGGCCGAGATCTACTCCATGGAAACAGCCAAGATCTACTCTATCGGGGGGGAGGGGGTGCGAGGGCCCGAACGCAAAACAATGAATCAGAAAACGATCGCCGCTCGAGTCCCAACGCCGAAGAAAACCCGTGCAGATGCCCTCAGTCGCCGTGTCTGGGTAAGCCTCCTCGCCAGGCCCAGCATTTCCTCGCCCGCTCCTGTGCCGCTCCGCTTCCCAGGCGGGTGGCGGCGGCGCCCACCTTCGGGGATGGACAGGCCCCCCTTCAGCAAAACGTGGTTTGGTGAATACGGACAATTCACTAATCGATGTGTCACTGCTGGGGGTTCTGTCCAACCCAGACACCTATCAGGGGGACGTAAGACCTGGGTACAGTGGACTCGGAAATCCCCGACGAGGTCGTCAAAAAAATGACGAGGCCGAGCCTGCATTTCGACGAGGCCTCCCGCCGCAGACATCCCACAAAACTCCTCCTCGTCAAAATCCGAGTCGCGGTCGTCAAAAAACGATGGCGAACCCGAGTCCCGGCAAACCCGGGTCTTACGCTCCCCCGATCCAACCCAGACACCTATATCCGAGGGGGGTCAAAACGTGACTGAGAGGGGGGGGACCGGCTCCACGGGGGCAGGCATCGACCTATATATGGAATCGGCGAGGCGCCGCCGAAAGGGTTGGCGATGGGGCCCCGGAGGGCGGCCGCTCCCCGAGCTCCTGGCGACTCCAACCAGCCTCGAACTGATCCCTGTCAAGATGGGCGAGCAAAAAGCGAGGGCAATCTTAGGGATAGGCCCTCAGACACTGAGGGGACCCTTAAGATCGGCATCGAGGTGAGGTGATGTCAAACATAGGGATAGGGATGTGTTTCAAACTGGTAAGACTCAGCTTTTTCGAGCCAGGCGTTCTCGCTCAATCTCGGGCCCTGGGCCCCGCACAGATCGACCTGGCTCGAAAAGCGGACGTCGAAAGATGGGATCGGGGGGCCCGGTCGTGATTTTTTTTTTGAGATGATGCCATTATGTTTCCAACGTCGGATCTCAGGGGTTGGCGACGGGCCCCGATGGATGGCCGATGCGTGCCCTCCTGAGCCCATCCCCCGCCCAACACTGCCGCAGAACACCTCCTCCCCCGCCGAGGCCTCCGGGTCATATGCCTGGTCTCTGGCGGCCGCTCGGGACGATCCGGGCACCCCTGAAACGCTCTCGGCGAGACACAACTGCTGGAGAGCACCCCGAGGCTAGAAAACCACCGAGAGCCGCCGAAAACGCCCCCCCCCCTGCCATTGCCATCCCAGACATAAAAAGCTCTGCTTTGTTTAACGCGTGGTCCCCGATGTCCCAGCCCCATACCCAGGATCGGTTTTTCATCGCGAGTCTTTCTGTTGACAATCCTGGAGTCTGGCCCCCGGAGGCCGAAAATAGAGAAGCACACTCCGTTATGTTTTTCCCAACCATCCTGTGATGTAGGGTCCTCGTTTTGAAGAGACAGCGCCCCGCGTTCCTTCCTTCCTCCTCCTCCTCCCCCTCCTTCCTCCTCTCGTCACTCACTCACTTTGCCACACCCCTCACACGTTTCGTGGCCCCATAAGGAGCTCCACCAAAGGTCCCGGTGGCGCAATCCGCATGGCGGCGCCGCCGCATTTTGGCGCACCCATCACACGTTTCGTGGCCCCACAGGGAGCTCCACCTAAGGTCCCAGTGGCGCGGTCTACATGGCGGCGCCGCCAAATTTTGGCACACCCCTTACACGCTTCGTGGCTCGACCTACGGTCCCAGTGGCGCAGTCCGCATGGCGGCGCCGCCAAATTTTGGCACACCCCTCACACGCTTCGTGGCCCCATGGGGAGCTCCACCTAAGGCCCCAGTGGCGCAGTCCGCATGGCGGCGCCGCCCTATTTTGACACACCTCTCACACGTTTCGACCTTTCGTGGCCCCACAGCGAGCTCCGCCCTGCCCCATTTCGGCACACTCTTCGCGCGCTTCGTGGACCCATAAGGAGATCCACCGAAGGCGATACTAACAACGACGGTATTCACAACTGCGTATGGTTGGGTCCTTCGCCCGGCTAGTTGCATGACCCGAAGGTGCATGGTACGTCTGAAGACCGTCGTTTTTTTCACAACGTGACTCCACAGAGATCTGGAGCCCTTCCCCAGAGATCTGGAGCCCTTCCCCGGGATCGGCTGTTCACCCTGAGACGTGCTTTGGCGACCGGCCCGCTGAGGGCGCCTGGAACGGAAAACCTGCAAAAACCCTCCGCCACGGTTTTCCCAGGTCGAGCGGCTCTCAGGGGACCCCTCGACGTCACGAGTTCCGTTGGGTGGGTGATCGTGGGGGAGCCTAAATGGGCGGAGAAGGAGAGAGCCCTAAAGGGGCCCTTTGGGGCTCCTTTTGTCCCCTGCTGGCTCCCAAAGGGCCCCAAGCGGCCTCTGTAGGGCTCATTCCTTCCCCCCCCCCATTCAGGTCACCACTCGTTACACGCTGGTCGGAAGAAGTAGGTGAAAACATGAAGTAGGAAGGCGGGTAAAAGAGGTTGGTCTCAGGCCCTCCCAGAAAAAACACAAAACATGTCAAAAGCACATCGATGATTGAAGTAGGAAGGCGCCAGAAGCAGTTTGGGGTCTGGAAATCCAAGACACCTACTTTCCACGACCGACGGGTACGAACGTCGTCCCGGACACCTGTCCTGAGAACGATTTTTCATGCTGAGCCGTATTTTAACGGTCCCAGGGCCCAGTAGGGGCCCCCAGAGGTCGAAAATAGCGAAAAACCTCCAGTCGTGATTGTTTCGCAGCGGAAGAGGGTTCGGGTTCACCC